TTTTGATGAAATGGACCTATCTTAGTGTAATAAAAACAATGCATGCTAGTTTTTATGTATGTAAAAACTGTATAAGATAGAAAGTCAAATCCTCTATACCCTCTCATCCCAGAAATAACCTGTTCACTAATTAAAATGGTGATCTTAATTCCTGTGTAATTATTAAGTAATCTATAATCCGTAGAGTAATATTTTGGGCACTATGTGAATATTCTCTTCGCCATCATGATTTTAGCAACCATTATTGATCTTTACCTGAATCACTTATTACATTGAGGGGGTCAAAATGTTGATTTTTCTGAATTCGCAATTACTTCTCTACTTATTAGCTGATATTCTTCCATAAAAAGACTTACACCACAACTATCCCTTCTCCATATATATATCTATATCTATATATATATATATTAATGTTATCATATTAAATTTTTTGGTATACCGCTATGGACTTTGGATTTCTTTTCAAATTCACTGTTGCAAATGAATACGAGTACTCTGTGTGAAATTTAAAAGAAATTTGTATTATTTTCACATTTTGCTATTACAAATAATTCTGCAATGAATGATAACATTGTACATATCTGTTTCATAGTTGTGGAGGTATATCTTCAGGGTGCATCCTGGAAGTTGGGTTGTTGAGTGAAGGGTAAATGTATACCGTTACTTTCTATTTTACACTCCCATCCACAATATATGAGAGTGCTAGTTCCCCATAGCCTTACCCAAAATGGGTATTTCAACTTCTGGACAACTCTGAGGGGCAAGAAGTGGTATTCTCAGTGGAGAATCTTTTCATTTGTTGAAGGGCTATCTGGATATCTTTTTTTGTGTGTGTGTGTTTGAACTGTATTACTATTTTGGCACATTTTTCTATGGGGGTGCTGATAATTTTTTTCTTAATTTTATCTAAAGCTGGTCTATTTCTCATTACAGTCAATGCAAGGGAGTTTAGACTGACCTGCTGATCTTTTGGGTCATTGTCAGCAATGACAAGGGGAAGAGGTGGGCCAAAAAGCAGCTCCCATCTCCCATGCACAGATAATGTTTTGTGGCTCAAATGCCCGTGAATGGATGAGTGGATATACATTTGTAATATATGTACTTGTATATAACAGACTAATACTCAGAAATAAAAAGGAATGAACTAGGGCTGGCTGAGTGACACATTGGTTAAGAGTTGGCTTGGAGGGCCGGCTGAGTGGCGCGTTGGTTAAGAGCTGGCTTGGGACACCAGAGGGTCCTGGTTCGGATCCCACATATGAAGGCCAGTGACACTGCCCTCCACAGCTAAGATGCTGAACAACAGCTCGACCTGGAGCTGGGCTGCCGTG